ATAATTGCCAAATCTATTACAGATGTGTGTAGTGAAACTAAGAATTCCTGTTACAAAAAGCATAAAACAGCAATTTCAATTAAAAATAAATCAATAGAAAACAACATAGTGTTTTCAAAAGCGGACAAAGTTAACACTACTATTGCTATAGATAAAATAGAATATAATAACAAAACAATAGAATTCTTAAATAATCAAAATATTGAAACTTTACACAAAGATCTGACAGAAAAATATCAACAAATCAAGCTAGCGTTAGAAAATTCAAAATCAATAGTAAATCCAATAGAACAGAAATACCTCAATATCATGAACACCCTCCTAAATTATACTCTTTCATTAAACTACACAAACCCGATCACCCAATAAGACCTGTAGTTTCTTGCTATAGAGCTCCGTCATATAAACTTTCAAAAAAACTGTTAGAGATTATTTTAGAACACACTAAATTGTCACCTAAATTTACTGTAAAAAATACGATAAAACTAGTTAATAAAATACAACATTTTCAATTACCTAACAACTCCAGATTAATTTCATTTGACGTAAAAAATCTTTTTCCTAGTATCCCTCCTACAGAAACTTTTATTCTAGTAAAAAATCTTTTAGACCAAAATAGTACAAATCCAATAATTACATCTGAAATTTTACATCTTCTTGAAGTTTGCATAAACTAGGACTACTTTGAATTTAATAATCAAATATATAGAAATAACAGTGCAGGACTTATAATGGGCAATCCTCTAAGCCCATTGCTATCAGATATTTTTATGGATCATCTAGAGACAAAGATTTCAAAACATCCCGTATTTAAACAGTTTTTATATTGGTGGAGATACGTAGACGACGTACTAGTATGTTTCACAGGAACTAACAGGCAACTCGACCAATTTTTATTGTATACTAATTCACTTCATAGTCAGATTGAAATTACAATAGAAACAGAACAACATCAATCCATAAATTTTTTAGATTTAAAAATTATCAGACTTAAAAACAAACATGACTTCTCCATATATCACAAACCTACCCATACTGACACGACTATACACAATTCATCATCCCATCCAACACAACATAAACTGGCAGCATATCTTAGTATGTTACATAGATTAACAGAAATTCCGATGTCAAAATACAACGGAACATACAAAGGAACAAACAATTAATAAAATGTTAAATCAAAAACTACACAAGAAAGCCCTGAAATTAGTATTTCCACCACCAGCGAAAAAACCCAGTACCTTCTGCTCGATTACATATACAGGCAAAATATCAACAAAAAATAGCCAAACGCATAAAAAAGAAAGGAATAACACCAGCTTTCCGAACAAATAACAACCTATGCAAATATATTAAAAACAACAAGAGCCAAAATAAAAAACACTTACACAGTGGTGTGTAAAAACTTGTGTAAAATGTGGCGACTGCCCAAAAACTTACATCGGTTAAACTGGTAGAAACTTTAATAAACGAATAGCAGAACATAAAAGTGCTTTCAATAATAGAAAAACAGATTCTACATACACACTTCACCTTCTAAATCGCAATCATTATTTTAACGACGAATTTAAAATTCTTCACATTTAAAATAAAGGCCTTAAGCTATCCTTGTTAGAATCTATGGAAATCAGCAAATTAAAAAACACAGATATAATTCTGAATGACCAACTTGAGACAAATAGTTCTCCCCTCCTCAACCTATTTCATTAGAGACTATAAAGTGTAAACGCAAGCCAAAAATAGATCACTTAAGAAAGGCAATCAGCCGAAACAGCTGTAGTGATAAGATTTAAAATAAATTTTGTGGAAGTTTGAAAAAGTTTTCAGTATTTTATTGTTACATAAAATGAAGTTCCTTCAAGTAATGGTCGAATCCATCATTTATATGAAAATTCTTTAGCAACTAAAATTGTGGATATTGTAAAAAATAAAATTATGTTTGAATGCATTCAGTTGCAGTTATTTTTTAAATCTTCAAGACCATGTTTTAACGGCATCAACAAATCATATACCTTCTAATAGAATCTATAATTTAGATTAGAAATTTAAATTAGAATTCATTTTATTACAAAACGAAAATCAGAACTTATAGATCCTGTTAGAAATTATTTAACAAAAACAATTTTGTTCAAATGTTGATAGTAAATTAGGAAACTAGTAAATAGGTCTTCTATTAATTTTGCTACAGGAATATTGTAGTAGTCTTAAAATTTATCGTCATGTAAAATTCGAAATAACTTAATACATTTGTACCTGTTATTTTTAAGAAGTTTATTATGACTAATAAAACATTTACCCTACAAAAATGTTTCATTTTAAATATGCTGCTCGAAATGTTTTGAGCAAGATAGAACCCATTTATCCTTCTCAAATTATTCTTACTTGTACTTGAAAGTTTAAAGATTAGAATTAAAAAGCTTTGTACAGAATTGCAATTCATTTAGAAGATTTTGGAAAAAAGATCATAAAAAACACTAATTAAGGGATTTTTGCCTGAACATTGCCAAAAACAAAATTGCCCACTGGTAAATAACAACGGAGAGTTAATTCATAACACCAAAGATAAAATAGAAGAATGGGAAAAATTTATTAAACAGCTGTTTCGAGATGAAAGAATAGACATTACAATAAATAATGTTACTGAAAGCCCACCAATTCTAAAAGTCGAAGTGGAATATGCCATTAAACAATTAAAGACCAACAAAAGCCCTGGACCTGATGAAGTTTATCCTGAAATACTTAAATTGATCGAAAGTAATAACATTGATTTGTTAGTAATTTTGTTTAATACAATCTACGATACTGGGGAAATACCAGAGGAATGGTTAGAATCTATTTTTATTCCCATTCCAAAACAAGCTAACTCCAGGCGATGCGCAGATTTTAGATTAATAAGTCTTATGAGCCAAGTGCTTAAAATTCTATTAAAAATACTTCACAATAGGGTATACAAAAGGTGTGAAAAAGAAGTTGGATACGATCAATTTGGATTCAGAGCCGGAATGGGGACCAGAGAGGCCTTGTTTTCACTACAAGTACTGCTGCAGAAGTGTTACGACCAACAAAAGGATGTCTTTCTATGTTTTGTAGACTTTGAAAAGGCATTTGATCGCGTAAACCATAATAAAATGTTAAATTCCTTGCAGAGCATCAACTTGGATAGTAAAGATCCCGATTAATTAAGAACTTATATTGGAGGCAGAGTGCCAAGATTAGGGTCGACGATCATACATCTAGAAATATTAGTATAAATAAAGAAGTAAGGCAAGGATGTATACTATGCCCTATGCTGTTCAATCTTTACTCGGAACTACTATTCAAGCAAGCCTTGGAAAACCTTTCCACAGGAATAAAAATTAATGGAGAACTAATATCTAGCATAAGATATGCAGATGACACTGTCCTACTGGGTGATCCAGACACAAACTTACAGGGGGTTATAGACCACCTTAAGGATGCTTGTCGAGAGTTTGGAATGAAGATCAACGAAAAAAAAAACAAAAGTAATGGTGATCCAAAGAAAACAGAATATCCCCTTACCTATAAAAATAAATGGGAATATTTTAGAACAGGTAAACCAATACAAATACCTTGGCTGTTGGATTAATTGCAAGCTGGACCCAGAACAAGAAATTAAAGCGAGAATTGTTCAAGCTAGGGATAGTTTCTTTAAAATGCGCGTTCTATTCTGCGATACACATATAAATATTAAATTGAGATTAAAACTTGTAAAATATTTTATCTGGTCTGTTCTTTTCTACGGAGTCGAAACGTGGACTTTAAAAATAAAGAGCCGGAATAGAATCGAGGCATTTGAAATGTGGGTGTACCGTAGAATTTTAAAAATTCCTTGGACAGCACGAAAAACAAATGAAGAAGTACTAGCTAGACTCAATTTAGAAAAAGAACTATTGAGAACAGTCAAAAGAAGAAAAACCAGTTATTTGTTGCGCAACCAGAAATACTACATCCCTCAGTTGATAATAAAAGGCAAAATAGAAGGAAAGCGAGGAATTGGAAGAAAAAAATTGTCCTGGTTACGTAATATCAGAAACTGGACAGGACTTGGATTTGAGGAACTCTTAAGAGCAGCTGAAGATAGACAAACGTTTGCCACCATAACCGCTAACCTCCATTGATGGAGACGGCACTTGAAGAAAAGTAGGGATTTTTTTCAACAAAAAATTGCAAATAACTCGAAAAGGAAGCATTTTTTGACAAAAATTACTCTAAGCGATTCGGTAAAGTTTAACAATTTCCGGTCGACTTGGAAAAATAAAAAAACTGGTGTGACAGTCCAGTGCGACTGTCGGTAGAAGTTATACTTCGCGTTCGCCGTTATAAATTTATGTGGGAGTCAATCTGCACAATCATTACACATGTAATGCTATAGGTAAGAGAAACATAATTTGCATCATTTGCTGTATATAAATGACATTTGGCCTATAATAGGAGTATAGTAAATGAAGGATTAAATCAATATTTTAATGAAAATATATATTTTTATTTTCATATATGTATGAAAGGAGTTGACTCCAAAAAAATATTTTTACACAAACTCTGCAGTAAAATTTATTGTTTAATTTGTTATTAATATAGAAATACAATATAATACACTGCAACATAATTCAATATAGTACAAATTAATTAAAATGCAATATTCATAACTTTTTAAAAATGACAATATACATTGCGCCGGCCAAATGTAGGCAACCACCTAAAATAATGGTGAGCATAGCACATTAAAAACCGCCAGATAAAAGTACTTAAAAACAATAATAGATGGAAGCAAAATAAAATATTTATCATCTTTGATCCACAATGGAAACTCATTTAAAATAAAACAGAAAAAATAATACACAATCACTATTTCACAAAAAATAATACAAAACAAACAGATGCAAAATGTACACTATATGCTACGGTGACTACAAACTACAATGTTTTAAAATTTTAAAATACTCAATGATTTTCCAAAGTACAAACAGTAGAACAGAACAGTACAAAGTCCAGATTTTTTTTATTCCGTTGTTTTTGTGTGTATTAGAATTTTAATCTTACTATCTTGAACTTTGTAACACCGATAATCAAACTTATATTAATTAAATTCTCATTTATTTTTAGTCAAAATATATTATTTGCTCAGTTCGTTTGTTGAGGTCGGTGAGTTTAAACGATCAAAGTGAAAAAATGACTTCTCTAACTAAAGGTATGGAAATCTAATTAATACAAAACTTTTTGTTTTACAATTTATTAAAAAAACCTCGTTAACACGGGACTACGTATACAGCATTTATTTGTTTTTATATAATTTTATTTCTACCTAACCTCATTATCTGTGTTTTTGACTAAAAACAGATTTATCGCAAAATATTAATTTATTTTTAAGACAAACACTTCAAATCTAGTGATCTCTGAGTTGTATAATCAGTGACCATCAGATAATTTTCATGTAATGTATCCTATTTCTCCAATTTTATCCTATTCTTTTCCCCTAAAAACATACATTACATTGGTGTTTAACATAGGAAACTTCTTTAGGAAGAAATGAAATTAGGCAAGTAGATCCCGGAGAGGGATAAAGGCAAAGAGAATGATTAAAAAATGACAAAACAAGTATAAAGTAGATTTATTTATTATTTATCATATGGCAATTACAACACATTTAGAACAAAATTACAAACACTAGTAATATAGGTATATGACAAACTTTAAATAGTTACAAACAAACAAAAGTTTGTGTAAGGTAGAAATAAATATCAGTAAAATTAAAAGAGTAAGATACTAAATTTTACATACACATAATGGACAAAGCACTTGTCTCACCCCTTCCATCAACTCCTTTTTTTATGATGATTGTTTGATTATGTACTAGTCCAGTCCAGATAATCGAATTTTTCTCTGTTCTGCGTTAGTTCTGCTAAGTTCAATGTTAGTTGGAATGATTTCTGCTAGCTTAATTCTATCGTGCTATGTATTAAGAGTATAAGTCAAAAATATCAATTTTTCACTAGGGCTCTTCAAAGTTTTTATTACCACTTTTGAAATAACTGTTACAACTAAATATCAAAATGATGATGAAATATGATTCATAACTGTAGTAATTACCTATTTTACTTTCTATTTTTATAATACCACATTAATTATAAATATTAGTTGACTTGTACTGTTAAGGCCATGTTTGCTTCATGACTTATACTCTTAGTCCTGCCAGTTTTGAGTGTATTGAGGATTTTACAAGTGATCAAAATAATCATGAACAGAAAAATATTAAATTAAACTCTTTATTCTTTACCTACATGATGAAATGTAATTATAAAAAAACATTACAATTAAAGTTCTAAAATTAACTTACAATAAAATTGTTATTCAGAATCTTCAGAATCGGAGCCTGGATATGTGTTTTTTACCCCTGCTGATGTTTTCATAGACTTATAAAAATTATGAAATTGGGGATGTATTAGGGTTAAAAGGGCCATGATATCCTTTTTCTTTTCCACAGAAATTGGCAGACTTTTTTTGTAACACTTTGGAGGTTCTAGAGTAACATCGTCTGTGTTATTGCGACGATGGAGATCAATGCAACGGAATGGCTCATCCTTATCTAAGGTCAATTTAAAAAACATTTTTGCTGGCTCTCTTGTATATCTCAACCAACGAATATCTGTCCATTTGAAGGAAAGACCGACCTCATCCTTTGTCCTTAAAAACAGATCTTTTTTGTAGAGAGCTGCAAAATCTAAAAAATCCTTGTGATTTAGTTCAACAACACTGAACTTTTTTTTCTTTCCACATGTGCGAACTAGCTGGTACCAGTCGTATGGCGTAGAAATTGGCATTTGCAAAGTTTTTTTTTGCTTTTCAATCATCCCGTGGTCAACATCGCATTCAAGATGACTGTGACCACTCACCATGAATTTATGATCTATGCATTGCAGTTGAGGACATTTTTGCATTAGAGTTAAAAACATTGCTGAAACATGAGAGTTCCTGTTTTGTCCTCCGCACGAATCAGAATACAAAATGACGTTTTTAATTGATATTGGGAGAGAAGAAAGTTCTTGATAGAGGCACGTCGCAATTTGGTTAGCACCTCTGCCACCTTCCGCCTCATGCCACATGTAGCACTTAACTGCCCCACTACTTGTATTATGCATAGTAAGGTTAAAAGTCCACAACTGCCTCTTGTAGAAGGCTACTGACGTATTAAGGTAAGGTGTAGGCAAACATTGCTGTAGATCAAACGCAAAGCAAATTTTCTCATCTTTGTTTAGCTTAGCATCTACTTTGTCTTCCTTTTTCATGTCATACGCTAAATCTGCTTCGTCTAGGTGCATTTTTCGTTCATTTTCCACAATCTTACGTTCATGTTCATTTTGAGCAATTTTTATCTTCATCAAGAGAGTGTCACATTTGTGACAAGTATCTACTTTTGGTTTTTTGAAGGAAATATTTTGCTTATGGAATTCACGTTCATATATTGCTCTAGAAGCAGGGTTGTGGACATTTTTCTGGTACAGCGAGTACATAATTGCTAAATTTAAATAGGGTGGTAGATATTTTTTCACGCTTTTCTTTCTTGAGTAATGTGACTCGTATGCTGGAAATGATTTTATGTGATCTTGAATATGTTTAATTCTCACATCTGAAATTTTTGATGGTGGAGGTTCTTTGCCTCTTTGATCACATTTTGATATGCCTGATGTTGACTTGAGAGATGAAGAAATGGCAAGTGTCACGAACATATTAGTTTCACCTAGTACCTTCATAAAACAACCGCGACATACTTTGCTTTTTGTACCATTTATTTTAAAGAAAAAGTTATGTGTCCACTGCCTAAACTTTTCTTTATTTGGATCATCTGTTCGTTTACGCATAGTTTTAGGTTCAATACTTTCAACCATGTTTGACACAAAATTTGCCCTTTTATCACGGCTACCAAGACTCCAGTACTCCTTGAAAATTTTTTTTTGTATCTCGATGGAGAGTTTCTCTTTGCAGTTTGCTCGACAACTGCCCAAAGCTGTCATTACTCTGGCAGGTTTTTCTTTACCATCCAGTGTTACATACCTCTGGCCAGCATTTCGTTGCTGAAATTTCTCAATTCTTCTCTTTTTTGAATACTTAGCTGGTTTACCAGCAGCTATTGAGGTGCTAATATTATTACATTGAGTTGACTCTCGTTGTGCTTTTCGCTTCTTCTGTGCTCCTTGAGTGTGGAGAAAAACTTCTATATCTTCCTCAGACGCAGAATTATTATCCATTTGGTAATGATTTATTGGCTCCCCACTTATTACTTCATTTTCACCTGCTAACAAAAAATAAGTTACTTATTAAAGGAAGGGACCATTCTTGCTTATAAACATACTACTCATGAAATTCTAATTTTACCTTCTAAAAATTCATGGACAACATTCTCTATTTCTTGTATGGTGCCCTCAATGTCATCGGAATTAGGTTCTTGCATCGTTTCAAAACCAATCGTTTGGTCAGGAGCATTTCGGTTAATATCAATTAATTCTCCATTATCTGTATTTTGTTGTGTGGTAGCTTCAGTAAGCTCACATGTACTTGTTGTCAAGGGTTCAATTTGATTTACAATGCCTAAAAAGCACATATGTCTATAAGTAAAAAGTATTAGGTATTTATCTACAGATACCTATACGAATGGGAGTTCTTACCAGTATGGGGATCTATGGTCATCTCAATCCCAATAATTTCTTCCGTAGTTGAATCAATAACATCTTTTTGATTCAATAGTTGATTGAGACTTAGTCTAGGCATTTCGTTATACCCTGCAAGCAGCAAAGAAAATATGTTAAATTGTTGGTGTAATAATTTCATCATTGGTTAGCAACTTTTAAACAAATAAAACAAACTTAACTCACCTAATTTTGTAGATGAAGAATCATCCTTTTGTTCTAATAATTTTAGAATTTGCTTTCCTCTACTCATTTTTAAAAAATATTTATAAGAGGACACTGATACTTTCACAGCAACCTACTTTAAGAACACTTAAATAAAAAAAATACTTAATTATTCATGTTTTTGTTTTAAATGGGATTTAGCTATTTTTATAATTTTCTACTCAGTATTTCGAAAAATTAAGAAACAATTTATAAACAATAACAATAACTACCTTCTTAAACTTTTGACAGAACGAAAGTTATAAACAGGTTTGCCAAGTTTACAACTACTACCGAACTCTGCACACTCATAACCTCGAAATTTCCTTTTCGCACCACTTTTAAATTTGTTAATTCATTGAAATTTTATGCTTAAATTTTGATTATTTACATTTTTTCAATACAAACGCCCTCCCAATGTCTCAAATTTTGTTTTTTCCTTTTTATTTTTATAATTTCCTTTTGTACAAAAAGGCTACAATATGGAAAAATTTCCATGATCTGGCATCACTGACTAGAAACACCTAACACGTGGTATAAATACTAGGAGTATAAGTCAAGCTGCATAAGTGAAAACGGAAGGTACTAACAATATAAGTTGACTTATACTCTTAATACAAAGCAGACTTTTGAAATTAGAAGTTATACTGTTGGAATAAAATCAATATTTATATATGAAAAACAGGCTATTGACTTATACTCCTAGTACAGAAATAACTAATAAACATCAAAAATTCAAAATATAGAAGAATCCCAAAACGTCTTTTTTTGACTTATACTCTTAGTACGTAGCACGTTAGAATTATCAGTCTTTGTTGTTATTCTGTGAAAACATTACATTTAAAAATGCAATAGTCTGCATCAGTCATTCCACAATCTATGCAAATATTGTCATTAATTTTTTTTTCTATAAATCTTAAGACCTAAAAGTACCATGTCTGTCAGAAACTGTCCTAAGAATTAATTTGCACTTTTGAACCTACATTTAGCTTTCGAAGGTTTTGAAGTGAAAGAAATGCAAATTTCTTTAAAAATTGTTATCAATAAATGAGTTTCTATGGAGAACTTTCGTTAACCTTTTAAACATTGCATATTGGCATCATAAGTTATTAATTTAAACAAGTTTCTGCTTGTGGGTATGAAATCAACCTTTTTGCTTGTGCAAAGTTATGGATAAAAACTCTTCAGGGCTTTTTGAGCTTTGAAAATGGTCATTTTGAAGTTGTTTCAGATCTTAATTTGTTTAGGTTACAATATGTCTAAAGGAAATTGTTTAAATAATTTTTTACTTTCATTTTCTCTTGGCAACATGCATTTTTGTTATAAGGGGACTATTTGAAGTAAGATTATACAAAAATATGAAATGAGAATATTTCTCCTAGCCAGTGTGCCCATACTAGCCACACTAACACAGAAAACACTCTACTTTTAGTAAAAATAACTGCTGTGAAATTTGTAATCATTTGGTATATTAATATTAGTTACAAAGTTTCCTACAAGTTCGCTAAACATTTAATCAAACAAACATTTAAACTTTGTGTAAACAACATTTTCTTTTAATATTTTAATTAAAATTATTAATAACAAACAAAAACTGTATGGAAATTTACCCGCACTTATTTTTTCTTTGCTTATCTGTAATAAACTGGATGAACCAGAAGATTATCACTAAAGCAATAATGTTGTTGCCAAGATTTGTTTTATTAGCTAGGTTTAATTACTCCTGTATTCTTTTTAACATAATAGGCTAATGGATTATGTCTCTAATCATAAAAGGAAACTACACGCACACACACCTGGATGATATCTGGTACTAATAAATTTAATCAAATTGATCACATATTAATATCTAAGTGGTGGGCAACCTCCGTAACGGATGTTAGAACTTATAGAGGCGGAAATTGCGATTCGGACAATTTTATGGGTATTTCGAAGATAAAACAAAGATTATTAATGGTAAGAAAAGAGAAAGGTGCCAAACAAAGAAAATGGAACACATATATGTTTACAAATCCTAAAAAGAACAATGAGTACCAGCAGAAAATTAAAGTAATATTAAATGAATGAGGAGAACAAAACAACATTGAAGAAGAATGGAATGTCATCCAAACGGCAATTATAAATATGGCAAAGGAAACATTAGGTGAAACCTCAAGCAAAAGAAATGAGGAATGATTTGACCAAGATTGCCAACAAGTATTAAATAGCAAAAATATAGCTAGACAGAAATGTATACAAAGGGATTCCCAATTGAATGGAAGGTCATATGAAGAACTCAGATAAGATACAAAGAAAATATGTAGAAGGAAAAAGAGAGAAATGTTGAATAGAAAAATACAACAAATTACAGATTATAATAACAGAGGAGAGACTAGAACATTTTTAAAGGAAACCAAGCAATACATCCAAGGATACATGACAAGATCAATAGTTTGCAAGGACAAAAATGGGGCAATTATCAGCGAGAAAGAGGAAATAATGAAAAGGTGGAAGGAGCATTTTCAAGAGCTGTTAAACCCAGAAAAAGAACAAAACGAAGACGAAGAAATAATTCACCACACAGCAGAACAACTAGTGGAGCAACCAACATTGGAAGAAATGATCATCATCATCACAGTCATTAACATCTTAGTAGATGTGTTGTGGTTCATAATTGGGCTTCAGCAGCTCGGACAGTTTGATTGATAATATTTCTCCACTGTTCGCGGTCATCAGTTATATGTATTGCCTCAGTATACTGTTTATTGAGAAGCTTTTTAGTAATGTCCGCCCATCGCTGTGGAGATCTTCCGCGTTGGCGTTGAGTCTGAGGCCTTCCTTTCTGAGGACCACCAACCGCTCCATTTTGTGATCACTTCGATGGATATGGCCAAAGAACTTTAAAGGAAGAAATGATAAATGTCATAAAACATCTAAAAAATAACAAAGCACCTGGCAATAACTGCAGAACTGATAAAGAATGGTGGACATACGCTATGGAGGCGTATCCATAAACTAATCGATTGCATATGGACACTAGAAGTCATCCAAGAAGATTGGAAAGTAGGAATCATAATTCCTATGTACAAAGGGGGAGACAAACGGCTCTGCAGGGGCATAACAATTAGAGGGGCATAACAGTTTTAAATGTCGTCTACAAGACATTATCAGGAACTATATACAGCCTACAAGACTATATACAGATTGAACGAAATAAATTCGGAACATACAAAATATTATGTATTTCGGCTCAATTCTGCTGTAGGTGGTTGACCAACAAAAGATTGTCAAATAATTATATTATAAAAATCCAATACTTCAGCGGGCTGCTGGATTCTGAAATCATAAAACTTGAAAGCTACACATAAATCTACGATTTTATTATGTTGTCAAACCACTATAGTCCAGGAAATGAAGCATTTCACCTCGCAATTTTTTCGTCCTGCGTGGATTGACTTGACATTTTAACAGAAGGTAGGTAATCGCCAAGGATCAAAATCTATATCGAACCAAAGTGCGCCAAAGCCTTGGGGGTGGTTGTCACCCCCTCTCGGGGGTGAAAAATTAATTTTTTTTTTACATTTTAACTACAGGTTTCGATTAAAAAAGTGATTCTAAACAAAAAAATTTCTATACATTTTTTTTGTAAAACTGATATTTTTCAAGTTATTTGCGATTGAAAGTAACAACTTTTAGACGAAAAAATAGACGTTTTTAATCGATTTTTCGCGAATAACTCGAAAATGGTGCATTTTATCAAAAAAAATGTAGAGAACTTTGTAGCTTTTAAAAAGACAAATACAATTCATTTTTTTAAAATGTTTTTGCGATATAATAGGAACCGAAATACGGCCTATCAATGTTCAGCGGTTTTCTTCTAATGCCAAATTTGAAAGATTCAAAGTCAAATATCGGGAAATGATGCATACAGTTCAACTAGTTCAACTTTGTAAGACATTTTGTATTTTTTAGAAGCTCTTGATAAAAATTGTAATCACAATTGAAAGCTCGAGTAAAAAATAGTCAACAAATAGCCCCTTTTATTGACTCCAACCCATCAAAAACAGTGTTTATATATATATATATATATATATATATATATATATATATATATATATATATATAAATAATGCATGTATTTATATATTTATATATATATATATAATTTCCAGGTTGAACTTAACTTTTTGATTGCAGGAATTTTTATTGTTGGTGCAAAACGTACACCTTTTGGTACATTTGGGGGCAAATTGGCCAAATCTCACATCACCGATCTCCAAGTAATTGCGTCCAAAGGTGCCTTAGCCGCTGCTAATGTTAAGCCCGAACTAGTCGACACCGTAGTCATTGGTAACGTCATTCCGGTGAGTGCATAAAATTTTTAATCCTTTTCCTTTTAATCCTTAATTCATTATTTAGTTGAAAATATGTATTATCAGTACATAATGTTAACTCCATTATAGCTGATATGTTTAGTGTTGTTCTAGTTGTAAATGTCTCATCACTCTCTAATTTTGTCTTGACTATATTTAAAGTCTTATCTAATGGCACATTCGTAAATAAACTATTTATGTCAAAACCTACCAAAATATTATTTGAATTAAAGTCAATATTTGATGATTTATTTAAAAAATGTTGTGTATTTTTTATAAATGTGTCATTTTTATTTACAAATGGTTGTATAATATTTAATAAAAATTTTGATAGTTCACTACAAGGGGAATTCATGGTACTACAAATGGGTCTAAATGTATATTCGTTTTATGAACTTTCGGTACTCCATAAAAATGAGGGGTACTATAATGAGATGTAATTAATTTAAAAACAAAATTTGTTTAATTTACTAATGTTTGTATTTTTTGAACGATTTCCGAAGTGGAAATTGAAACGTCAATAAACGTATTTTAACAAAAAAATTTTGTTTAAAATCCTTTATAAAAGGTATATAAAAATGCCTCAAACGGGCTATCACAAACACATTGCAAAACGTTTTCGGATTAAACAATCCATCATCAGTGCAAACGGTTGTACATGCTAGTAGCCACCAAAATAAAAGGGTAAAAACCCTTTAAATGTTTTAAATTTGAAGTTTTACATTATTAGTATTTATAATTTGTGATGGTTAAGTTACCGTTGGATAGGTAACATGGCGGCGTATGACTCTACATGAGTAAAATGGTCCTGAGACGAAGTGTCTACGAGGACCTGTTGATAACAACTCAAACTTTTTTTTAACCTTTAATTGTGGCTTATTCTTATTTAAATAGTAATTTCTCTCTCTCTAACACTCTCTTTCTTTATTTCTTTCTTTCTTGATTTAATAAATTAACAACGTCCCACTCACTCCCCCTTCTCTCTCTCTCTTTAACTTACTCTGCCTCCCTCTCTGTACCATACTCTCTATCCGCCTCTCCCTCTCTACCTGTCTCTTTCTTAGTTTAATAAATGAACAATTTAAATTTGTAGTCTGTAGCAGCTGATGGTGGTTTCCTTGCAAGGCATGTATTGCTCAAATCAGGTATCCCATTGGAAAAACCAGCCTTTTCAGTGAATCGACTATGCGGATCTGGATTCCAGTCTATTATTAATGGATTACAAGTGAGTATAAGAAATAAATTGTTTCCGAAAACATATTTAAAATGAGTTATTTATATGGAATCTCATGTAAAGAGGTAATTATCTTAATTGTTGTATTATTTACACAAGAATTTCCCCATATTTGGAATTTCTTGTTAATATTAATGTTCGATTAGGCATTTTAAAAGAAACCTCACTTCTGCTTTTTATTTCGGAAGAATTAGCAAAAATATCCCATTGGGGTAGTACCCAATATATTAATTTTTTGTTCAAATAAAAAGTAAAATATTCAAACATTATTCAAGATAAATATCTTATGTTTGATGTAAGAAGCTTTAAAATGGAGATTTCTGAATGTTTATATACAGTATTTTTCATATAAAAAAGCTTGCACGTCATTCAAGATTTACGTCGTCAGACCCCCACAGCGTTGCCAAAACTGAATAGTTAATATGTGAGAAATTTTTAAAATGTCAACTATTTGTCAAACTATTATATTAGCAGTAAATACACTTAGTTTTAAGACTACTGCAACACATTAAAATACATAGGAAAACATTTTAATACAAAATTATATATTCTAAATATTAAACTTAAAGTAAGTAGTCTTTAACTTAAACTGTTTTACGGCTTTAATAGTAAAAACGTCCCGCCATTATTTCTTGTTCAAAATAATCTATCTTATATGAAAGCTTATCAGCTTTCTACAGACTATTTATTTGTTTTGGCATATCACAATCACAATACACAACAATAATTAGTTTTTAAAGCTATTAATATAAATTTAATATGTATTTATAAATACAATTTATTAATATATATTATATTATGATCAAATTGTGTAAGAAATCAAAACATAAACAAAATTTCTACTCTAAAAAAGCGCCAACACTTAATACACTTTTGCCACCCGCTGAACTGTCAATAAAATTTGAAGTATTTCCGTATCAGTTGCGTACAATTGTCTAACATATTTAATTAAAATTATTAATTTGTGGAATATTAGACTTAAAGAGTTATTTCATAAAATTTATATTATTAATAATAACAAATGTTTTTGGTTATTTAATCAATATAATTCTAAAATTTTCCATATATAAATGATTACATTTTTCTGATTATTCCACCGTGTTGACGCCTATGAAAGATCGAGCAGTTCCGTATGGGTTTGGTATTATTAGTTGTGTTAGGAAAATTTGAACAATAAGGTTGATGTTCTGGAAATTTTAAATACAAGTGACGTCACTTTGTAGAAATCGTGACGTGCAAGTGTTTTACTTTTAAAAATGGTATACTTACTTATTTGTGGTTTAGACAACTGTAGAATAAATCAAATCTTTTAATGATTTATAAATTTTAATAACTTTTACAAATCAGTCTACAACTTACTAGTGGGATTTGATCTTTAAACATCATACGATCAGGCTGAAATTTGCTAAGAATATTAATTTTGGGACCTTCCTAAACCAACCCCTTAAGGGGGGGGGGGCGAGAACATTGATTTACCAAGAATCTACAAAGCTGTTAACAGTTTCTACAAAGCTGTTAAATCAATAAACGTTGCGCATTTTATGCCATTTATTAAAAAATATGAAAAAGCTTTTTCTATAAATAAAAAATTGTTGCAAACCAATATACTTTCTTTTTAGAGAACTAAAAACCCTAATTAGTGCCATTTAAAAGATACAGAATTGAAGTTTATGTGTTCAAAGAAGAATAGGGAAATACTACTTTATCTTTAGGTTTAATTTGATATAATGAGGCAGTTATTCACAATGTTTTACAACGGAATATATTATTGCATCCATACGTCCTTGGTTTTAATTGTTGAAATACATTAAAATTTGTATCATAAAAAATGTCGTACAAACAAACAAACAATTAATAATATTAATAAGGTAAAAAATACTTGATGGCATTTTTTACGACAGTGCAGTTATCTTCAATATTTAAATAACAATTTACAGTAAAACCTCCGTTAACCGAAATAATCGGTAGAGACAACAGAGCAGTAAAATGTTATTCATAAAAGTAATGTAGAATATATCGCCGCTTATCTGGTCCGCTAGTAATAAAGTTACAAGCATTTAATTGCAAAGCGGTCTTCTTAGGTGGTTTCACTAGACAAACTATTGAAATACAAGCAAGATTTGTATTATCTTAGAATCGGTTTAAAAAATATGGTTGTAGTAATAAAAAGAGCTTTTATTTATCAGAATTATTTAAAAATAATTTTTATCTAGGACATAACAACGGGTCTTGCGGAAATAGCACTAACAGGAGGTGTAGAAAACATGTCAGCCTCCCCCTATATCGTTCGCAACGTCCGTTTCGGAAACATTCCCTTAGGCGTTAGCCCCATACTGGAAGATACCGTCACTGTCAGTGGATTGGACACTATGTGTGGTTTAAACATGGCCCTAACGGCTGAAAAGCTCGGAGAACAGTTTAAACTATCCAGAGATGAGGTGGAAGAGTTTTCATTTAGTTCCCAACAGCGCTGGAAAGCAGGTGATTGATTGTTGATTTTATATGGTTATGGCTTTGTGGCTTTTGTCTTGTTTTGGTTAATGTTTATACAACGGCGACTAGAAGCAGTTTTTTATTGTGATTTGTGGTTTGGTTTTCACTTCGATAAATATTTACATAACTGATTTACCACACACAGTTATATGGGTTTGGTTGGTTATGGTCTCTATTCAGTGCTGTTGGGATTGGTTCTATAGACCATGTTATATTACTTTTACTTCATCAACTGATAGTTTAACATTTGACGTACATATAAACTGTTGTTTTATGAATTCACTCAATAATAATAATGGTATTCATCATACTACTGAAAAGCTAAACTGTAACATCTTCGATTTAAACGCAAAGGACAGCAGATCACTAATGTCATGCAAAAAATAGTTTGTAAAATTTGGTCCGATGATCACATGCCTGAGGAATGGAGCCTAGGCCTAATATGTCTGCTGCAGAAAATGGAAAGCTAACTAGAATGCACTAGCTACCGCATACAAGATATTAAATATCTTGCATTAACCAAATCATTAAAATTACGTCAAGTCTTCCAAAAATTAGAAATTCCAAAAAACTTACATGAATGATACATGTGACAATGGCCAAGATACTGTCAGTAGTAAACATTCAGGTCAAACCAATTTGAAGCATATTGGGGTTAAAGTAAAGAGCCGCGCTATCGTGTCAGCTTTTTGTCAAAAGCCTTAAAAAAGTCGTTCGAGACTAATTTAAACAACAGGGGAAGTATATTTAATGGATCAATCCAAATTGAAATCGTAGGCTTCCACGGCCAGAGTCAGAATTATAGTTTATTCGTCTTCCGGGTTTGGACCGTGTCATTTGTGAGTGACCCAAAAGTGGGTTCATCTCGACGTTTCGCTACAATTGTATGTAGCTTCTTCAGGAGAACAAAGAAAAAGAAAACAAAAGACAGGAAGATGGGTAGTTAGCAACGGTAACTCAGTTACTCAACGCAACCAGAGGCGAATACTAACTACCAAGATGGGCATTTGGTCACAGTAACTCAACTACTCAACGCAGCCAGAGGTGAAAACCAAATGCCAGGACAGGGATTCACGTCCAACAGCTCAGAACACTAACGCGTCAAGAGGCGGGGAGTGAATCCGACGATTACTCCGCTACCGCTCTATTTATAGTCGCGGTGCCTGTCGTGTCGGAACGTATCGGCACACTTCGTGGCGCGAACGTCAAGAAGCGCGCTCTGGCCAATCATGTGGCTGCATCGTGGTAGCGGGACCGGACGGCGGCTCTAGACTGAGATTCCAGATGGGAGACAAGTAGTATCCTTCCTCTCGATTGATATTATGGGGATTTTTTCGGATCTCTTAGAGATTCGCGGATTTTCCTGGAATAAAAGAAGGGGCTCTTAGAAATAATATGGGTTTTTTCGAACAATATGGAATGACCGGTTTCTTGGCAGTGTTCTGCAACTGCAGAATGGGAGAAAAGACCTGATCGAATGCATCTTTGATGCTCTTGAATCCGAGTTTTGACGGAACGAGCAGTTTCGCCAATATACACATGTCCACATAAACAAGGAATAGAATAGACACCACAGGAAGATAGGGGCGGTAATGGGTCCTTAGGAGAGGGTAGATATTGTGAGATTTTCTTGGGTGGTCGAAAAGTAGTCCTGATACCTTCTTTGCGAAGAATTTTGCCAATCCTATCAGTGACATTTCGAATATACGGAAGAAAAGCCACAGGAGTATTACCCGAAGATTCTGAATTTGTACCCTCTGTATTGAATTTACACCCTAGGACGACAAATTCAGAATCTTCGGGTAATACTCCTGTGGCGCTTTTCTTCCGTATATTCGAAATGTCACTGATAGGATTGGCAAAATTCTTCGCAAAGAAGGTATCAGGACTACTTTTCGACCACCCAAGAAAATCTCACAATGTCTACCCTCTCCTAAGGACCCATTACCGCCCCTATCTTCCTGTGGTGTCTATTCTATTCCTTGTTCATGTGGACATGTGTATATTGGCGAAACTGGTCGTTCCGTCAAAATTCGGATTCAAGAGCATCAAAGATGCATTCGATCAGGTCTTTTCTCCCATTCTGCAGTTGCAGAACACTGCCAAGAAACCGGTCATTCCATATTGTTCGAAAAAACCCATATTATTTCTAAGAGCCCCTTCTTTTATTCCAGGAAAATCCGCGCTTCTCTAGAGATCTGAAAAAATCCCCATAATATCAATCGAGAGGAAGGATACTACTTGTCTCCCATCTGGAATCTCAGTCTAGAGCCGCCGTCCGGTCTCGCTTCCACGATGCAGCCACATGATTGGCCAGCGCGCGCTTCTTGACGTTCGCGCCATGAAGTGTGCCGATACGTCCCGACACGACAGGCACCGCGACTATAAATAGAGCGGTAGCGGAGTAATCGTCGGATTCACTCCCCGCCTCTTGACGCGTTAGTGTTCTGAGCTGTTAGACGTGAATCCCTGTCCTGGCATTTGGTTTTCACCTCTTACTGCGTCGAGTAGTTGAGTTACTGTGACCAAATGCCCATCTTGGTAGTTAGTATTCGCCTCTGGTTGCGTTGAGTAACTGAGTTACCGTTGCTAACTACCCATCTTCCTGTCTTTTGTTTTCTTTTTCTTTGTTCTCCTGAAGAAGCTACATACAATTGTAGCGAAACGTCGAGATGAACCCACTTTTGGGTCACTCACAAATGACACGGTCCAAACCCGGAAGACGAATAAACTATAATTCAATCCAAATTTTCGCATATGCTGAAGACGTGGTTGTGGTATCACAAAATATCGCGGGCATTGACATCAGAACAAGAGAACCGTCTTGACTGTGCTCACCAGTTTCTTGAATCGTGGGTATTCCATTTCACTCCCGAAACGAACAAAAATATAAACAATAGCGTCACCAGTCGCAAAGAAAGTCCAAACTCCTTGTGCTAGAAAGTCATGGCCAGTCTTTTTTGGGATCCTCAGCGGATACTACTGATCGATTTCATGGATGCTGGAACAATAATCAATTCAAACTGTTATTGTGTAACACTAAGAAAACGCAAGCGAGCTATCCAGAACCGCCAGTGAGGACAACAGCTGCAGTGTTATGGTCTATACCATGTTGTGTTAGGGTTTCTATGAGTTCTGTGTCTTTTACTCGATCAAACGCTTTTTCGTAGTCGATAAAACAGAGAAATACGTCTTTTTTGTAGTAATTTCTGGAGGCCAAATATTGCCTCCCTTGTACCAAGCCCCATACGAAATCCAAATTGATTGTCGCTCAGGTTTCTTTCGTATTCACTGTATATTCGTTGATGTACAATTTTGAGTAAAATTTTCAGAAAACGGCTCATCAGGCTAATTAATCTGAACTGTGAGCATTTATTTGCTTTATGTTTCTTGGGTATAGGTATAAATGTCGATCTAAGCCAGTCTTCTGGGAAGATTCCAGTGGTATATATTTTGTTAAATAATATCGTTAACGTCTGAAGATTTTCTTCATTGATAAGCTTTATCATCTCTACGTATATTTTATCTGGACCTGAGGCTTTTCGTGGCTTTGCCGTATTGATTGTTTTTGTAACTTCCGTTTTTGTTGTAGTGATTTTTTTCTTCATATTTGTGACTTCTTTAATCTTTATGTATGCATTAAAGTAGTCATGCTTTTTTAGTAAATCTCCCAGTTCCTCACACTTGCTGCTCATCCATTCTTCTTTGGCTTTCCTAATTTTGTTTAGGATGATTCTCTGGGTTTCTTTATATTTTTCTTCATTACGATTTTTGTAAGAACTCCTTATGTCCATCAGTTCTAGGACTTCTTCTGTCATCCATGTATTCTTTGTTTTTCTGATGTTGTCTTGTAGTTGTTCTCTTTGTATAGTTGTGATTGTTTTTTTGAAGGTGTGCCAAATACTTTCTATAGTGTATCATTGAGTGTTTTCTCTATTTCTGCCTGTACTATTGGATCTTTAAGTTTTTCGAGGCTAGGTTTTATCTTCTCTCTGTATTTGATTTTCTTTAGTTTGATTGAAATTTTACCAACAACAGGATTGTGGTCGGAACCGATGTCTGTCCCGGGATATGTTTTAACTCCCCTGATTTCGTTTCTATAATGTTTGTTAATTAATATATAATTAATCTGGTTTCTTATTATGCGGTTTTGATTATCGCCAGGTGCTTCCATGTATATCATCTTCTTTTGGGTTGTTTAAACCAGGTGTTTGCGATCATTAGATTTTCTTGTTGGCAAAATTGGACCAGTATTTCTCTTCTATCATTTCTTTGGCCCAAACCAAAGTTTTCTACTACGTCTTCGGTCCACCCTTCACCTACTTTGGCATTAAAATCTCCCATAATAATGTTTACAACATTTTTCTTTGTGATCTTCATTAGCTGTTTGATCTCTTGGTAGAATTCTCGTACTTCTCTTTCTGGCTTTTCTGCTGTAGGAGCATATACTTGAATAAAGTTAATATTACGAGGAGTGGTATTAATTTGCAGCATAGCTACTCTATCAGATATAGGTATAAAGTTCTTTATACATTTACTGATTTTCGGGTCAACTATAAATGCCACTCCGTTATAATGATGAGGATCGTCATTACCAGCGTAGTATATTACATGGTTATCGATGTTTGTCCGTCCAGATCCATGCCATCTAACTTCAATGACTCCGACAATGTTGACTTCCATTCTTTTCATTTATTTCACGATGTTATGAGATTTTCCTGGCATAAAGAGATATTTTGCATTCCAGGTTCTAATTTTTAACTTCTAATTTTTGTTTTCCACTTTCGGGTGGTTCCTAGCATTTGTCGTAACATTACATACAACTCCTAAACATGAATATTTTCACAAAGAACACATAGAAAAGATAGCTAAACACATTTTCTGGAAAGGAAAATGTTGATCGTCGAACTATATATAACAAGCGAGTCTTCTACAGCTGGCGCCGCTTCTCGCATCCTAATTTCCAGCGTTTTCTATCGAAGCAATCT